GTTACGTGGGTCCTTCAATTTCCATGAAGGACCCGAACTATTGCTAAATCCAAAATCAAAAACAAAAAATCTCTGTTTTCTCTTGACCCTTTTAATTAGTAAAGTTTGAGTTTTGATCATCATGCACTGTTTCCCTTGTTTCTCTTCTCCAAAGAGTAAAAAATCTTCAACCTCAACGAATGAGACTCACGACCATGAACCCACCAGACCACATGGTATTTGTCTCTTGTCCTAATATGGAAATTTGAAAACCCGTTTCTTCGAATTCGTGTTTTTTTATATAATTTTGATTACTTTTGTTTGTTCTTAAAAGAGAGAAAACGGTCAGATGAAACAGAGCAACCGGAAGGAACGACGTTGAAGATATTCACTTTCCGGGAATTAGCGACGGCGACTAAGAATTTCCGGCAAGAGTGTTTGTTAGGAGAAGGTGGATTCGGTAGGGTTTATAAAGGAACCCTTCAAAATACTGGCCAGGTTCTTTCCCAAATCTTTCCTCTAAAGTTCGCTTTTTTATAATGTGTAATGATCAGAATCAGTAAAAAAGTTAATGTTTTGGGGAGTGTAGGTGGTGGCTGTAAAGCAACTAGACAAGCATGGATTACATGGGAGCAAAGAGTTTCAAGCTGAGGTCTTGTCTTTAGGCCAACTCGATCATCCGAATCTTGTTAAGCTTGTTGGATATTGCGCAGATGGAGATCAAAGGCTATTGGTCTATGATTATATCTCTGGAGGTTCCCTTCAAGACCATCTTCACGGTATTGTACATTGAGAGCTTCTTTTTCAACACTTTTTAAAAGGAAAAGCTGAAGATTGTTTTGGATGCTTTGTGTTTTTGCAGAGCAAAAATCAGACCGCAAACCGATGGATTGGACAATGAGGATGCAGATAGCGTATGGAGCAGCGCAAGGGCTTGATTACTTGCACGATAAAGCGAATCCACCCGTGATATACCGAGATTTGAAAGCTTCAAACATTTTGTTAGATGATGAGTTTTCTCCTAAGCTTTCTGACTTTGGTCTGCATAAGTTAGGACCCGGGACAGGTGATAAAATGGTAGCTCTATCTTCGCGAGTAATGGGAACTTATGGTTACTCCGCACCTGAGTATACGCGAGGAGGAAATCTCACTATGAAATCAGATGTCTATAGCTTTGGAGTTGTGTTGCTTGAGCTTATCACTGGTCGAAGAGCTCTTGATACTACTAGGCCTAATGATGAACAAAACTTGGTTTCTTGGGTAAATAAATAACAAGAAACTATCAAGATTGCTCTGTTTTTTAATCAACCAAACCATAAAGTTGTTTGCTTACTGAAAAATTCACCATTTCTTTGTAGGCACAACCGATATTTAGAGATCCGAAAAGATATCCGGATATGGCAGACCCGGTTCTGGAGAATAGATTCTCAGAGAGAGGGTTAAACCAAGCAGTGGCAATAGCATCAATGTGTGTGCAAGAGGAAGCAACAGCTCGTCCTTTGATAAGCGATGTAATGGTTGCGCTTAGCTTCCTTTCGATGTCAACAGAAGACGGTATTCCCACAGCGGTTCCTATCTTATCTTTCAAGGACAAGAGCATGTCTATTGCCTTAAGCCGTCATGACTCAAATCTAGCAATGGAAGATGACAACTCTAGTACATCATCAGAGGAAGAATCTTCTTT